ATACACACACTGCCCGAGGCTAACACCGCGTCTTGCTACAGCTGGCACTGCCTCTTGCTACAGCTGACACCGCCTCTTGCTACAGCTGACACCGCCTCTTGCTACAGCTGACACCGCCTCTTGCTACAGCTGACACCGCCTCTTGCTACAGCTGACACCGCCTCTTGCTACAGCTGACACCGCCTCTTGCTACAGCTGACACCGCCTCTTGCTACAGTTGACACCGCCTCTTGCTACAGCTGACACCGCTTCTTGCTACAGCTGACACCGCCTCTTGCTACAGCTGACCGCCTCTTGCTACAGCTGACCGCCTCTTGCTACAGCTGACACCGCCTCTTGCTACAGCTGACACCGCCTCTTGCTACAGCTGACACCGCCTCTTGCTACAGCTGACCGCCTCTTGCTACAGCTGACACCGCCTCTTGCTACAGCTGACACCACCTCTTGCTACAGCTGACACCGCCTCTTGCTACAGCTGACACCGCCTCTTGCTACAGCTGACACCGCCTCTTGCTACAGCTAACACCACCTCTTGCTACAGCTGACACCACCTCTTGCTACAGCTGACCCCGCCTCTTGTTACAGCTGACCCCGCGTCCTGCTACAGCTGACACCACCTCTTGCTACAGCTAACACCACCTCTTGCTACAGCTGACCGCCTCTTGCTACAGCTGACCACCTCTTGCTACAGCTGACACCGCCTCTTGCTACAGCTGACCGCCTCTTGCTACAGCTGACACCGCTTCTTGCTACAGCTGACACCGCCTCTTGCTACAGCTGACACCACCTCTTGCTACAGCTAACACCACCTCTTGCTACAGCTGACCCCGCCTCTTGTTACAGCTGACCCCGCCTCTTGTTACAGCTGACCCCGCGTCCTGCTACAGCTGACACCACCTCTTGCTACAGCTGACACCACCTCTTGCTACAGCTGACACCACCTCTTGCTACAGCTGACCCCGCCTCTTGTTACAGCTGACCCCGCGTCCTGCTACAGCTGACACCACCTCTTGCTACAGCTAACACCACCTCTTGCTACAGCTGACCGCCTCTTGCTACAGCTGACCACCTCTTGCTACAGCTGACACCGCCTCTTGCTACAGCTGACCGCCTCTTGCTACAGCTGACCGCCTCTTGCTACAGCTGACACCGCTTCTTGCTACAGCTGACACCGCCTCTTGCTACAGCTGACACCACCTCTTGCTACAGCTAACACCACCTCTTGCTACAGCTGACCCCGCCTCTTGTTACAGCTGACCCCGCCTCTTGTTACAGCTTACCCCGCGTCCTGCTACAGCTGACACCACCTCTTGCTACAGCTGACCCCGCCTCTTGTTACAGCTGACACCGCCTCTTGTTACAGCTGACCCCGCGTCCTGCTACAGCTGACACCACCTCTTGCTACAGCTAACACCACCTCTTGCTACAGCTGACACCGCCTCTTGCTACAGCTGACCGCCTCTTGCTACAGCTGACCGCCTCTTGCTACAGCTGACACCGCTTCTTGCTACAGCTGACACCGCCTCTTGCTACAGCTGACACCACCTCTTGCTACAGCTAACACCACCTCTTGCTACAGCTGACACCGCCTCTTGCTACAGCTGACACCGCCTCTTGCTACAGCTGACACCGCCTCTTGCTACAGCTGACACCGCCTCTTCCATGTTGCATTGTGTGACATATTAATATGCTTACAAAGTCCTGTGTTCTAAACGTATTCGTATTACAAATCTACAAATGGATATTGTGAAGTGGATATACAGCAATTTTAATTTTAATTTTAATTCACGGGAGACAGTCGTGTTGTGATATGTGTGTCAGTGTCACTGTTTCTAGTCAGTAGTTTTTTGGGAACTGGCTGTTTATTACTTTTCTACTTTAAATGTAGACTTCTTACTTTTAGGGATAATACAAACAGGTAATTTAGAAGCCATATCTGGAGAATATCGACAGTTGTCAGGTCCAAACTATCTTGTGTTTGAAGAAAACTATTGCTTTCATATTGACTGTGCATAAATGGTGCAACCACACTGTGGATAAATTGTATCAAGATATTTCGCAGCTTTAGGTAAGTGGATGAAAATAATATTTAATTTACTAACTAACCTCTCACAGCAAGTCACTCTTTGCCTCTTTACTAATTGTTGACTAACAGTATAATTATATGTTGTAGCAGTACACTAATAATATTAATCCTTAACCTTCGCGAGCACTGGCTGTAAACTCTTGCGGAAACTTCTGGTAGTTCATCCACTTCTTTTGCATATTTGCAGTTCTACGGTCTGTGTTAATTTATGTAAACTGGCTTTTGCTTTGCTTCCCGAACACTGGCTGTAAACTCTTGCAGAAACTTCTGGTTGTTCATCCACTTCCTATGCATATTTGTTACCAAAAAATTCGCAATGGTAAGGAATTTATTTCATCCAACAAGATGAAACTGGACAAATTTGTTTGTGCTGTTTGTACCTTGAGGATACATATTTAGTAGTGCTATAAGTACTGTTAAGAAAACGACTCTGGGGGAAAAAATTATTGCACATATCAATTTCATACTGATTGTGCTTGTTTACTAATTATTAAATAACAGTATAATTATATGTTGTAGTAGTCTACTACTAATAATAATAACCATCAATCATTTATATTTATGTTATGTATGATATCTGTATGTTTCATAGCAGTATTTTTATGCGCTAAATTTGATAAAGTACAAATGTCACCCCTCCCCTCCTCCCCTCCCCCCCCCCCCCCTCCTCTGGTGCAACAATACCCTCTCAGAATCAAAGAGTTAGCGCTAATATTTCTTTACTTTTGCTGGAACATCTTTTAGTTTACATCAAAACGTTATTGATGTTTATGTTCATGTTGACTGTAGCAAAAGCCTTTTTGTTTGTCTGTAAGAGTCTTTATTGTTATATTTATTCGACGCACTTATTTACCTTAAAAATGACGTATAGTTCTAAAAAATATGTCGAAAATTAATGAAACTGTAGTTTAATTTGCGTATACATCTCGATAAAAACTGGACGCAGAGGGACTCAATTCTTGCACAAGAACGGGAATTTCCGTTCGAGCTGTACGGCCTTATAAATCTGGAGCTGGCCGTGCTCAAGCTGCCACTGCTACAACTGACACCGCTAGAGCTGACACCGCCTCTTGTTACAGCTGAAACTGCTACAGCTGACACCGCCTCCTGTTACAGCGGAAACTGCTACAGCTGACATCGCCTCTTGTTACAGCTGAAGCTGCTACAGCTGACCTCGCGTCTTGCTACAGCTGACACTGCTACAGCTGACCCCGCGTCTTGCTACAGCTGACATTGAGAGTCCCATATCCTGCTTATAGGCTGTTCTTTTCTTTACCCTGCTGGACACTGAATTATACCCTCTGCCCCCTCCCACCTGCTATCTTTCTCATTGTCACTCACAAAACACACTGTAGCTCTCAAACACACACGCACACTTCTTCTCGTTTACTCTCTGTCCATCTCCCCCTCCCACCCTCTCTCTCTCTCTCTCTCTCTCTCTCTCTCTCTCTCACACACACACACACACACACTCACACACTCGCTATCTCACCATTCATTCATTCATCATTCTGTTGCGCCATTATATGTCACATAGGGCTCGCAGTCTATTCCTCCATTCCCTTCTGTCCTGTGCAAACAGTTCAAAATCATGGATGGGATCCAGTCCAGCAGCTTTAGCTTTTCTCACCAACTTTTCGGTTTTTTTCGTCCTCGCTTCTTCAGTCCCTTGATTTCCAATTGTAATGCCTGTTTGGTGCGATCTTCTCTGTCTTATAACTGTTGATTATAGGGAATGGTACAGGTATCGGAGTGGACTCGTAGGACATAAAATGCCTGGAACCGTCTTGTGTGGTGGGGGCACGTCAGGAAAAGAATGGGAATAAAGCATGAAATAATTACAAAAAGGATGAGAGCTGAGCGTGTGAGAAGAAACAGACTACACACAAATAATGACAACAGCGGTCCTGAAATTCCATGCTTTAATTGTGGAAGACTTTTCTTAACCCGGGCGGGTCTTGCTAGTCAAAATCGCCATCGCCATTGTTCCCCACTGCTATCTTGGACACTTGGTGGTGAGTACCAGCACGGCACCTTCTGATGCTGATGAGCACAGGCATTTTTCCCTTTTAAAAAAGCCCTCACTGTGAGAACAATGTATTGTTTGTATGAATGTGTGTGTGTGTGGGGGGGGGGGGGGGGGGTCGAGCGGAGGTGGGAAGGGGAGGGGGGCGTTACTGAGCGTGGAATGTATGTTCAACTACTGGTGACCTAACAACAAGCAGTGTTGACTGACGAGTGAGGGGGTGGGTGAAACGGCCCTGTCCAAGTATGTCTCACCAGAACGGCATGCGCGTTTATTACTAGTGGGTGACATAAGTGTATTGTTGATCAATACGTCTACAACATATCTAGGCTTTACCTCTCAGAGTAAAAACTTTTAAGGGAACTTGAACTACAAGAATTAATCTCAGACGCGATTATATAGGTTACATGTATTATATTGTGTCAGTGTAATGAAGATTTGATGGGGGGGGGGCAGACACAGCTATGTGATATACAGTCGCGTAATGTGTGCAGCATGATTGGGGTAGGAATCTATGGAGATAGGGAACATGCCGTGGTTTTCCCCATCCTGTCGTCTTTTCTAAATATAGCCACCTGTGAAACACATCCCACCTGGAAAATCCTGCTTCTTAATATATCGACAACGTCACAGGGACAACCCCCTAGTCTGCACAACGGGTTCTCACCAATCAGAGCGGCAAGAAAAATGTTTCTCACGGCACTGCCACCTAACGGGGCAGAATGAACCAATGAAGAGTGAGAGTTTTCTCGGTGGTGCCCGGATAACTTGCCGCGAGCTGGCTATAGCGGGATTCTCCGACCATCTCACAAGATGGCGTGAACGTTTGTCGTTTTCTTCTGCTATTATCGCCACCATATTGTCGGATTTAAAAAAATATTTCAGTAAATGATGGCTGTACCTTCTAATTGTATATCAGAAGGTAATAAATGATCAAACAGTTTGTATTTTGTTGTTAACGTTTATATATCTATCATGTATAGACGAATAAGAAATAGTGATGGTGATAAATCATTTATTAAATGTGAAGCGATGGACTCGAGTCATCGTCTGCCTGCTCTCTCGACAACCGCCATGTTGTCATTTATTTGTTATTGCAGATACATTATCTAACAACGAAATCGCGATTTTATCTTACTCTGCACACGGATAAATGTATGACCTCTGCCGTATTTCACAAATATATGTTCGTGTGAGTCCGGACTAAGTTATTGTTCAATCTGCTGATCCGAATCCGACGTCGGCCAGCCAGGTGTAGTAATCTAGTCTGTTGTTCTCAACCTGACCTAGATATTATATCAGCTCAACTGGATACCAGATGTAATAAGTTTGAACCATGTCTGACGGCTGTGTCAGAATTATCACACTCAGCTGTCATGTGTCAGCTCTGAAACTTACACTTACCCAGCTAGAATTGTTTACATTTAAACGTTCTGTTTTATTTTTACCAGCCCATCGAAGTCATTTGTGTTATGTATCTGAAATGGAATAGTAATATAGTATTAATAATAGATTAGAATGTATAGTAATTGTCGTGGTCGCTGACTGTGGTGACGACCGACTCTTAGAATGTAGGCTCTTCATTTAGAGAATGATTATGATTCACTCTAGCCGCTGTCTGAGACAGTGTCTCCTCTCTCTGCATTACTTATATATGTATATATATCCCTCTGAGTAGAAGGCCCTCAATCCTGCCCATAATATTTATTTATTGTTGTCTGTAATAACTCTCATCTGTTTCACCCCAAAATCTTTTAGCTTGCACTTTTCCAGCATACAACTTCAATCCTGGAGGTGGAGGCAATCACTGCAGCTGGATTGCACAAAATTAGTTATCAGAGAACTACCCTGTCTGATTCTCATTTGGTACTGACACTACTACTGAATGGGGCATGAATGGATACCCAATTTTGCAGATGATATAGCACTCTTATCCACATGAACATATACAAGAGAAAAGTAACATACTACACAGCAGAAATGGTGGGACTTAGAATAATTACAAAGAAAACTAAGATCATGACAAACAGTCCAAACCAACAACCAGTGACCATAAATAACCAAACTCTTGAAAATGTAGAACATTTCACATATCTTGGCATTGTGGTGTCCCTGCCGGGAGGGAGTGTAGAGGACATACAGTCACGTCTGAACAAAGCTAGAGCTGCTTTTGGAAGGATGAGGCAAATCTGGAAATCCAACAATTACTGCAGAGGAACGAAACTCTGACTCTACAAGAGCATCATTTTGCCAGTTCTTCTTTATGGAGCGGAATGCTGGAGAATGACCAAAAAGGATGCACACAAGCTGTCCACCTTCCACCACACATGTCTACGTAGAATTAACATTTTCTGGCCAGATACAATCTCAGACACTAAACTACTTCAAGTCACATACCAAGAAACTTTAGACAGTATGATAACCAAGAGATGATGGAAATGGCTTGGCCACGTTATGAGAATGAATCATAATATACCTGCCAAAACAGCTCTCACATAGACACCAGAGGGAAAGAGAAAACAGGGGCGCCCAAAAACAACATGGAGACGAACAATGAAAAGTGACCTGAGTGCGGCATCTTTGACATGGAAAACTGTACTGAAGATGGCACAGGACAGGAAAGCATGGAAAGTCCTCTCTGAAGCCTCATGTACCACTAGGCATAACGACAACTGGTGATGATGATGAATGGATCTTCCCTTGAGGCTCATTACTGCAGGTATCACCCGCCTCCATTCATCTTTCTGGTTAGCCTTCTCTTTCCAGTTGTTGACACCAGGTGTTTGCAGGTTTTTCTGGATATTATCTTTCCATGGTGTTTTTGGTCTGCCTCTCTTGTGTGTACAGTTTTTACCTCTCTGTCATCTGACATTCTCTCAGTATGCCCCAACCATTTCAATTTCAGTCTGTTAACCCTCAGGATGCCAGTGATCAGTGGGGATGTAAAAAGATTATGTCCTTTGTTGTTGCTTCTCACTCTCCATTCCCTGCTGTTTCATCTTTGATGAGTCCAAAGATTTGTTGTAAGACTGTTCATAAAATGTGTAATAAGGCTTCAACTCTTTAAGTTGTGCTACCAGTTACACAGCCATATACAACAACTTGTCTGATCAACATTTAATATATGTTGATCTCGGAGTTGCAAGATGGAGACTTTGACTTTAGCAGATATTAAAGGGCAAGGTATACTTTATTTCCAGACTGTATTCTAGATTGTATTTCTTCTCTCATCTTGTTTAGAGCAGTTGAAGTTTTATATGTTTCTGTTTGTTTAATTTTCATGTATGTGGCCGGAGTGTATCCTTTCCCTGTCATGTTATCGATGTTTATTCTGTCTTATCTTACCAAGCATCAGTGTCAGTATTAGAGGGAATCACCTGATTATACTTCTTCTTCTGCGTTCATCCAAAGATGTAATTGCGTTGTGTCCATTTACAGCATGGCTGCGATATTTGCACCTTACGGCCAACACATCTAACTTCACTTGATTATACTGTCTCATACAGGAGTGCAAAGGAATTAACAGGGGCTACTAAAAAGATAGTTGTGGGAATGCTCCTACTGGACAAGGAAGACTTCTGAAGACCATTTATAAACAAATTTTGATAGAAGACGAGATTAGATGAAATTAAATGTAAGAATGTGTAAACAAGAAATTAGAAGTGGATCCAGCAAAGACGAATGCTTGAGAGTTAGAGAAAAATATGTGTATAATCATTGCGCTATGGGAACAGTTAACATTTATAGCTTAGGATATTTTCTGCTTGAGATAGAGCATCTGTGGGTATGTCGGGTGTGCTGTGTTGATTCTGAAATCAGTAATTAATCAGAGGACAGGCTTTGTAATTATTATTTTACTGAAATCATATTTTCTGACCAGACTTGGCAGTGTGTTAATCGCCAGTAACCTTCACCCCATCCCCTGATTTTGGTGGTTCATCCACACTATTTCAGTCAGTTTTCTACACAGAAACTAGCTAATGGATATTGGTAGTTCATTATTACTAATAAAACATCATCAAAGAAAGATGATGGAAATGGTTTGGGTGTTTGCAGAATACTTCATATCTCTTGGCAAGGACAGCTCTGATGGAACAAAGGAGGCATGAACGTCCTGAAGATAGCTGGAGAAGGACAGTAGACAGGGAAATGAAGGAATGCAAAATGACAAGGGATACCATAGGCACAAAAGCAGCAGACCAGTAACAGTGGAGCACCTGAGAGTGCCTTGTGTGTCAACAGTGGAGCACTTGAGAGTGCCTTATGTGTCAACAGTGGAGCACTTGAGAGTGCCTTATGTGTCAACAGTGGAGCACTTGAGAGTGCCTTATGTGTCAACAGTGGAGCACTTGAGAGTGCCTTATGTGTCAACAGTGGAGCACTTGAGAGTGCCTTATGTGTCAACAGTGGAGCACTTGAGAGTGCCTTATGTGTCAACAGTGGAGCACTTGAGAGTGCCTTATGTGTCAACAGTGGAGCACTTGAGAGTGCCTTATGTGTCAACAGTGGAGCACTTGAGAGTGCCTTATGTGTCAACAGTGGAGCACTTGAGGGTGCCTTATGTGTCAACAGTGGAGCACTTGAGAGTGCCTTATGTGTCAACAGTGACTTGAAGAAAAAAAGACAGATTGTTAATAATTGTTTGAGCTGTTGTCCTGCAGCATGTGAGGAAATATTGAGTTTGATTCTAGAGTCACGTATTTTGTGATGACACAGAGGTGTCAAGACTTGTGAGGATTTGTGTAGTTTGATTCTAAAATCTTGATTTGTTCAACCTAACTACATCTCCCTAAATATGCCATGTATGTATGATTCCAGCAACTGAAGTGAGATTTCCTGAAGAGAAAGGGCTCCATTTGCTTGAATCATAAATTAATCTTTATCTTTCCCTGGCCCTCGTCTTCTTCTTAGCATTCACTGGTGGGACACTGCGGCAGAAAGTTCTGGTACTTCTTCCACCTTCACTTTTCCAAAACCTAAATTATGTGTGCAGATCCAATTTACGTATCTATTTGTTTATATACAGACAATAATGTTTCCTCACCTTTCAGGGAGGGAAAATCCTATTATTTTGTCTTTTACAATATGCTTGATAGGGAGGCAGTGGGTCTTTCCTTATGAATGCTAGATATGATTCAGTATTATAAATTAAATTGATTATAAAATGTGTATACAGTATATTTTGTTGCTTGAAAGTGGTGTTGTGTTATGCGTGCATGTTTTCATATGTCAGCTTTACAATATTTTGTTTACATGTTGCGTTGCCTTTGATTTGGCACAGTGTAAATATTATTCTCTGACCTTTCTAAAGTTTTCATGTGATTAAAGCTATCAAGAACCTTCCAGGATTGCGATTGCAGTTATAAATTCTGTAACTGATTATGCTTTGTAAATATGTTCATGTTGAATTTATACCATCTCGACAAGAGATAATGTAAGGCATGAAACAGACAGTACCGACTCTGGTATTGAATGGTCTCCTGCAGCAGAATATTTTGTGTACCCACTTTTAGTCAGTAGATAAGTGTGCCTGTGCAGGTTTGAAAGATCATCTCAGTGTACCAGGTGGCAGTGTGGCCACGATGATGGTAGTGAGCTCATTAGAGTGAAAGGTTGTCGCCGGCAGCACCACAGGGTTCCAACTCTGCGGGCACAGATTAGGCAGGTGCACTTAGTTGTTCCTGGCCACTTATTGCTGTTAATGAAACCAAATCTGTTTTCCTGTTTCACCTACTTGTGATTCAACATAAGATCAATCCAGACCAGGTTGTTTTTTTGGGTCTGTCTGACATAAGCCTGAATTTTAATTAGTTGGCATTTTTTGGGGGACAACTTTTGAGAAAAAAACAAATCTGTAAAATAACTTTTGATGTAACCTAAGAATATTAATTTGAGTAGTACAGGTACTTTGCACAATTGTTGAGTTTTACCCCCTCTTTCCTGAGAGGCTGAACTATCTTGTAGGATTTTTTTTTTTTTTTTATTTATATACACACGTGCACATGTGCATACTCAAACACAATATCCTTGCCTCTCAGGCAGATGCACTCAGACTTCAAAGTCAACCCTTCATTAGTCATCTCTTGTAACATGCCTCTTAGGGAGGCAGTGGGTCTGTTCTTGTTTTTCCCATAATAGGGCCCCAGAACCCATACTGGGAACATGTAAATTAATATCTATGTAAGCTGTGATAATTATAACAACTTTGTTTGAGTATCTTGCCAGGCCACTCTGTAGGCTGCTACTTATTTCCTCTCCAGATCATGTCATATTGATTTTCACTTGGCAGTGCAAGAGCATTCTGCCTGCTGTATGCGTCAATATTTGCTGAATTCATGTATGTGCATGTAATGTGTGTAACCTGCGTCAGCAGTAACTCTTGAAATGGATTTCTCTCCCCACAGACTTTGATTTTGGAGACATGAACTCCAGCGAGCTGATGCGTTTTGTGCAGACGATGAATGATGAGACAGCTAACCAGCTTCTTCTGCAGATGCAGCAGCAGCATCAGTTGCAGACAGTGCCAGGTCACTTGATGTCTTTGTTCATTGTTTTGGAATGGATTTCACATGCTTTAAAATGTTATGATGAGTCTAAACTAACTAGTTCTTTTGTTAGAAACCACTAGCAGTACCCGGCCACACATTGCTGGCTAAATGGATCAGAAACCACTAACAGTACCCGGCCACACATTGCTGGCTAAATGGATCAGAAACCACTAGCAGTACCCGGCCACACATTGCTGGCTAAATGGATCAGAAACCACTAACAGTACCCGGCCACACATTGCTGGCTAGATGGATCAGAAACGAAATAGAAAAAACAGCTGTCTAATGTGAATTTCCCAGATATAGTCTGATTTGCTGATTGTAGAACAGGCAACATATAATTGTGTTCTTGAATTAGTGCTCATTTAACTCTTTGAGTCCCAAGGAATGCATCATACGTTCACAGGTTCCTACCCAGAAGCCCAAAGAACGCATGATGCGCCGATTTTAGGATTCTTCTTACTACCCCCTGGGCCTGTGATGCTAAACCCCCTGGGACTCAAAGAGTTCAAGTCTTTTATTAAGACTAAAAAATTGGTTATTTCTTTATCACATGCTAAAGCTTTTTTGTATGTTTTTTAAAGAGCTCAAAGTAAAGTTTACTACTGTATGTTTAAAAAAAAAAACTTCATGCCCCCCCCCCCCCCCCCCCCCCCCCCCCACCCACCCAATAAGAAAATCTGAGGTAGCATTATTTAAATATAAATTTAAAAAAATTAAAACTGTAAAATCATGTCTTGCTTGAAGCTCTCTCAGTTAACAGTTTCTGGCACACACCCCCTCCCCCCAGTTTCACCGACTACTACTCTCTCCCTCTCCAAAGGTTTTAAAATTTACCATAATTTTTTTAGAAATTGATCTTGGTATCCGTGTCCACCCAAACTAAAATGTGTAGCAATAATTGTAATTAGAACAACAGCTACTACTGGCACTGCTGCTACTACTGGCACTGCTGCTACTACTGGCACTGCTGCTACTACTGGCACTGCTGCTACTATGAGCAGATGAATCTTGTTGGCAAGGTGGTTACTGTGACTTCCCTGGCATGGGCAGTAGTGATGTCATTGATGTCCAGGGGCATGCATGTCGCGAAGAAGATTGTGTCCAGGCTGCTGGATATGGGAGCGTAGCCTGGAGCACCAGGGGCATGCATGTCACGAAGAAGATTGTGTCCAGGCTGCTGGATATAGGAGCGTAGCCTGGAGCACCAGGGGCATGCATGTCGCGAAGAAGATTGTGTCCAGGCTGCTGGATATAGGAGCGTAGCCTGGAGCACCAGGGGCATGCATGTCACGAAGAAGATTGTGTCCAGGCTGCTGGATATAGGAGCGTAGCCTGGAGCACCAGGGGCATGCTTGTCACGAAGAAGATTGTGTCCAGGCTGCTGGATATAGGAGCGTAGCCTGGAGCACTAGGGGCATGCATGTCACGAAGAAGATTGTGTCCAGGCTGCTGGATATAGGAGCGTAGCCTGGAGCACCAGGGGCATGCATGTCACGAAGAAGATTGTGTCCAGGCTGCTGGATATAGGAGCGTAGCCTGGAGCACCAGGGGCATGCATGTCACGAAGAAGATTGTGTCCAGTCTGCTGGATATAGGAGCGTAGCCTGGAGCACCAGGGGCAAGAGTCGTCTGATTATTCACCACAGAACGGGCGGCATTTGTGGTTTCCCTGCTTGAGGAGCTATCGAGGACAAGATCTGAGAACCTGTGGATCTGTCCGCAATGCTGTGATGATAGTTCATACTAATCAGTAACCTTTCATTCCCATATCTTTTCAGTTCCATAGTCTTTCGACAGCTCTCTTTTTATTCCCATATCTTTAAATTTTCAAAATGTCTTTCAACAGCTTTTTATCCCCATAACAAAATAATTTATTACCTCATACAGCTATGTGCAGATTTGTTAGGTCTATAGTCGAAGTTCGGAAACACTGCAACAAAAAATAAATCTGATTCTCTTCGTTCGGCCAAAACCCGTCTTGCAAATTTCTGAGGTCAACAGTCAAAGTTCACCTAACAAAGAAATGGGAACGCAGCAACAGAAAAAAAAATATTGGATCTTCAGAAAACAAAACCAAGATGCCGTTGTGATCCTCGCTGGTGCTATGTAGTTTGTGCCTTGTGCGATATTCTTGTATAAAAACGTGGGTATTCGAATGCAACCTGTCAAAATTTGAAAGCAATGAGTGAAGAACTTTCGGAGATTAGCTGTCATGAATAAATGAAAATTTACATGTATATATAGATTAACTTGGAAGTCTGAGTAAGAACACATGTTTGATTCAATTTGAATGAATTTGTGTGTGGGAGGTGAAGCTTAGGTTTCTTTTAGACATTCTCATTTTCCTTGTCCATTTGTTTCCCATTTAAGTGCCTGTTTGGTAATTCACTGCTTGCTTCTCTTCCAGCAGTGCCCAAAATATTGCCATCCTCTTTGTCTTATAACTGTTGCTGCACACAAAATGCCCTATCAGTGAACGTATGTTTTAGAACAGCTTCTGGCTCCATTTCAAGTTGTTGCTCCCCTGTGGTGAGATGTATTTTTTCTTGCTGTGTGTGTGAGAGACAGAGAGAGTGAGATAGAAAGTGTGAAGGTGGAACTAGGTATTTTCCAAAATGAGGTTGTTTTTGCTTGCTGACTGACTGCTTAGCCAGCCATGCTGCAGTGCCTATGTATTCACACAGTCATTAGAGCCTTTAAAGACAACTGCAGGAAAGATAGGGCAGATGATTTGTGATTATTTGTTGCTGGTGACAGTTTTGGTGACTGATTGACATGAACACCATTGAACACCCACAGGTCACCCTGTACAAGAATCACAACACGGACAGTCAGCCATCTACCCACCTGGGATTGCCACATTCAGCAATCATGCCATGGAGAGACACGTCAACAACTTCCCCCCAGTCAACAGAGCCTCTCAGCCACCGCCAGTACACCCTCCGCCTCAGCCAGAAAACCCCTGGGTGGAGATCACTGAGCAGCCCAAGTCCCGTGGCCTTCGGTTTCGATACGAGTGTGAGGGCAGGTCAGCGGGCAGTGTTCCTGGGGAAAACAGCAGCAATGAACACAGAACTTACCCAACCATCAAGGTACGTCATTTATGTGAAATAATTACATGAATCATTTATGTGAAATAAGTACGTGAATCATCAATTCTGGGAAATAAGTACATGAATCCTTATTTATGTGAAATAAGTACATGAATCCTCATTTATGTGAAATAAGTATGTGAATCCTCATTTATGTGAAATAAGTATGTGAATCCTCATTTATGTGAAATAAGTACATGAATCCTCATTTATGTGAAATAAGTACATGAATCATCATTTATGTGAAATAAGCCTTATACGTCTGATTTCAGCAGACTGCTAATTAGTAGCCTTTTAAGACACGCTTGTTAAGGGGCATTGGGTCTATTCTCGGTCCCCTCAAAAGGAAGTCCCAGAACTGGCAGTGTTCTTGAAATCCATCTGTTTGTTTCTGTGGCAAAGATGGTTAGATCTTTGTTTCTGTGGCAAAGATGGTTAGATCTTTGTTTCTGTGGCAAAGATGGTTAGATCTTTGTTTCTGTGGCAAAGATGGTTAGATCTTTGTTTCTGTGGCAAAGATGGTTAGATCTTTGTTTCTGTGGCAAAGATGGTTAGATCTTTGTTTCTGTGGCAAAGATGGTTAGATCTTTGTTTCTGTGGCAAAGATGGTTAGATCTTTGTTTCTGTGGCAAAGATGGTTAGATCTTTGTTTCTGTGGCAAAGATGGTTAGATCTTTGTTTCTGTGGCAAAGATGGTTAGATCTTTGTTTCTGTGGCAAAGATGGTTAGATCTTTGTTTCTGTGGCAAAGATGGTTAGATCTTTGTTTCTGTGGCAAACATGGTTAGATCTTTGTTTCTGTGGCAAACATGGTTAGATCTTTGTTTCTGTGGCAAACATGGTTAGATCTTCAGCCATTTCTGTCCAAACCAGTAGGACTAAACAGCAGTCATGAACATGTTGAGAGTAACCTGTGTGCTTACTGTTTGTTGCAGATTCACGGCTGCAATGGTCCTGCTATTATTGTTGTATCCTGTGTAACAAAAGACAACCCACCTCATTGCAAGCCACACCCACATGCCATTGTTGGGCGAGACTGCAAGAAGGGAGTCTGTACGGTTCGGGTCAAAGACACCAGTGATAAAATTGTGTAAGTCACCGCTTACGTGTTTGTACATGTTGGGATAAATGTCAGTTAGAAATAAATGTGTGTACAGTAAAAGCTAGTTATGTGTCACAAATGAACTCAGCATGTGTTGTTGTACTAGGCATTCTTTCTGTAAGCAGTTTGCCATTGCTTTCTGTATGTTGTGTTGGTCATACCATTGTCAAAATCAACTGGAAACAGTCTGCTACCAGATGGCCAGAGTTGTCTTCGAACCCCAATATATCAGAATTGTTGAACTGCATTCACAACCCCTAAACAACACATATTGGTGTGTCAGTGTGGTAACAAATGTAGATAAGTATTCAAATATTTGTGATTTATGGACATAAATGTGCCAATGTGAGGGTAAGTGTCCATGTTCTGGAGAGTACTGAGTTAGTTACTCTCTTCCTTGTGTGTCAGTGACAACTCCCATCTGCTGTGTTTCTGCCATGTGTTTCATGTCAGTCACAAATACATTGTGTTTACTAGTCAGCGATTGTTTGTTGTGTGAAAACACATCTATGAAACTCACAGGAAGATTGATTCAGGTTTTCATAAATGTTGAAGTATTTACAGCAAAACATGAAAACGCAAGACCTAGTTCATCTGTTCTTTCAAAAATCACTTGGTGGTTGGAAATCTAAAAGAACAGGTTGAATACAAAATATTCAGTTGTAAATACTGCTGACAAAAAGAAAATGATATATATTGATACAGTTGAGTCCACTTAAGTCAAACTTGGATAAGTCGAATTTCGGGTAAGTCGGGACCACCAGCTTGGTCCCTGCAATTTTCTCTATTGTGTGTGCTGTCTGGATAAGTAGAAATCCTGATAAGTGGAAGCATTTTCTGAGGTCCCTGCAACTTCTACTTATCCAGACTCCACTGTTGTATGTGAATCTGGTGGGCAGCACATGTTTGTTCCTTGCCATTGCTGAGGAGTTTCTGCACAGAGTTGAGGGGCTGCTGGTGTGATCCGTCAGAGAAGCTGAAGCACTTATCACCATGTCTGTGTACAGTAGAAGAGATAGATCTTTTACATAGATAAATATGTTTATGAGACTGAGACAGATTTCTTGCATGTTACAGATTCCCACAGATTGGTATTCAGTGTGCCAAGAAGAAAGATGTCGAGGGAGCTTTGAGGTTACGGAAGGAAATCAATGTTGATCCATTTCAGAGTAAGTCTGTCTGTACAGCATCTAACCTCTCTGCATGTTACAGTGCCACATCTCTGAAGGCTAAACACCATGTAATGTGCACAGTAAGGAACCAATGTCCAAATTGCTCTTTTCATTCCAATCAGCTAGGAAGCTTCACAGTACCACGATTGTAGATGACAAAATTCTGAGTTGATTGGTTGGTCAATTGATTTTTTTATTTGTTATGAATTTTCTGGAAGAAAAGAGCTCAGACTTTAAACCTTGTTGCCCAAAAGAGCTGGATTTCTGACTGTCCAGTGTGTTTCATGGTATGCCATCTTTGAGCAGTGACCACGACACCCTAGGGCAGAGATTTCTGACTGTCCAGTGTGTTTCATGGTATGACATCTTTGAGCAGTGACCACGACACCCTAGGGCAGGGATTTCTGACTGTCCAGTGTGTTTCATGGTATGACATCTTTGAGCAGTGACCACGACACCCTAGGGCAGGGATTTCTGACTGTCCAGTGTGTTTCATGGTATGCCATCTTTGAGCAGTGACCACGACACCCTAGGGCAGGGATTTCTGACTGTCCAGTGTGTTTCATGGTATGACATCTTTGAGCAGTGACCACGACACCCTAGGGCAGGGATTTCTGACTGTCCAGTGTGTTTCATGGTATGACATCTTTGAGCAGTGACCACGACACCCTAGGGCAGGGATTTCTGACTGTCCAGTGTGTTTCATGGTATGCCATCTTTGAGCAGTGACCACGACACCCTAGGGCAGGGATTTCTGACTGTCCAGTGTGTTTCATGGTATGCCATCTTTGAGCAGTGACCATGACACCCTAGTGCAGCCTTTGGAACTGGCAGCTTCTGCATCATGTGTAGACTTCAAATTGTTGGTGGGGAAAAAAGCTTTCCCACTCTCCTGCCCTGGCATTGTTCAAATACTCTTAGGTCATAGTGACATCATAATAACTAATGACTTCACTTTGCTCCATGTAGATGTCTCAACAAAACCTCTTGTTTTCATTGTCAAAGGGAATGAAAACAGTTAATTTTTCATTTTGTTTGTATTTAGTAATTGCTTCCTTTTGCAAGCAAAAAAAAAAGAGCTTTGCTCAGCACTGCAGGTGATAGTTACTGAAATATTTAAAAAAAAATGTGTTTTAGTGTCTGGTAGTCTGGATAAATCTGGGGACGTCTGCGCTTCGAATCCCTCTGGGTTCTTATAAACACTGACCTAAAATTTCTTCTGAGTTGTTTCTCTTCCTCTAGCTTCTTATGGTAGAGTTTGAGAACATTATAAAGATACATGTTTTTAAATAAAATGTGATTAAATCAGATTTCCATGTTTTCATCTATTTGTAGCTGGATTTTAACATGCACAATCCAATGTTGACATCAATGTTTTATTTATTTCCAACTGGATTTGAACATGCACAATCCAATGTTGATCTCAATGTTTTATTTATCTCCAACTGGATTTGAAGATGCACAATCCAATGTTGATCTCAGTGTTTTATTTATTCCTAGCTGGATTGACCTTGCACTGTTCAATATTGATCTCAGTTTTTTTTATATTTTTTATTTCCAACTAGATTTGACCATGGACATTCCAATATTGACCTCATTGTTTTATTTCCAGTTGAATGTTATCAAGCACAGTCCAATGTTGACATCAATGTTTTATTTTTTCCCCAGCTGGATTTGACCATGCACAGTCAAATATTGATCTCAATGTTGTTCGACTTTGCTTTCAAGTGTTCTTACCGAATGAACATGGCAAGGTCACAAGAGTTGTCACCCCTGTGGTGTCACAACCCATCCATGATAAAAGTAAGTGGCAGCTGTGAGAAGTAGCTTGACAACACGAGTATGAAACAGAGTATGGGAGTACTATCCTTGAACATTTGCTGGCTGTGTGTTAGCACTCATGCCTAGTGCTTGCGGTGGTTCGGTTCTGAATGTCATAGTTTTACCATTTCTCTCTCTACAAATAATTAAAAATGTGTTTTTTGCATTGTTGTCATCGAAACAGTCAGGGCAGGATTGTCTACTCTAGCACATGTGGTGAGCTCAATGTGATGCCAAGGTACACGATGACTTGGCATTTGTTTGTTAAGGGACTATACTCCGTTGGGGTTTAAAGAGCAGCAGAAGACCCTCGGAAATGGTAGTTAGACTTATCCTGACCAGAATGGTTTTAAAGTTACTCACCCTCAAAATGAGTGGTGGATCATTGTCAGACTTGTCTGGGATTGACAGAAACTGATCCTGGTAGACCTTCAGTGTTTGAAGCTTTCACACTTCACGATCCAATCACTGTACTCATATATTTCAGCATCTGTACCAATGTTTTTTTCAGTAATTATACCAAATTATTTAAGTGAGTGAATTTCAGTAACACTACCAGAGTATTTTCAGCATCTGGACTCAGATTTTCAAAAATTATACTCATAAATTTCAATAATTCTGCTGCTGTATTTCAATAACCATACTGATATATTTCAGGTGCTATCCTGATGAATTTCAATAACCGTCCTGCTGTATTTGCCTAAACTATGCTGATGTATTTTAGTAACCGTCCTGCTGTATTTGCCTAAACTATGCTGATGTATTTTAGTAACCACTCTGATATAATTCAGTGAAAATGCTGATCTACTATTGTGTGCTTCGGTGATTGTGCGAATGACAAGCCCATAATGATCAGCAGGTCACATGATGATAGTGATGCTATGATAAGAGGGTCTAGAGCATATTGCTTACTAGGAGAAATAAAGAAGTTAGCCAGCCACAAATGCTGACAGGAAATCTTGTCCCATAACAACAGTTCAGCAGTCTGTGCTCTATTGGATTATAATGGGAAGAAAGGGGACAAGAAATTGTCAGCACTGAAGTGTCTGTTACATAATGATTCTCAACCTTGAAACGTGGTGATTCTCACCCTTGAAACGTGATTCTCACCCTTGAAACATGATTCTCACCCTTGAAACGTGATTCTCACCCTTGAAACGTGATGGTTCTCACCCTTGAAACGTGATGGTTCTCACCCTTGAAACATGGTGATTCTCACCCTTGAAACGTGGTGATTCTCACCCTTGAAATGTGATGAGTCTCACCCTTGAAACATGGTGATTCTCACCCTTGAAACATGGTGATTCTCACCCTTGAAACGTGGTGATTCTCACCCTTGAAATGTGGTGATTCTCACCCTTGAAACGTGGTGATTCTCACCCTTGAAATGTTGTGATTCTCACCCTTGAAATATGGTGATTCTCACCCTTGAAACATGGTGATTCTCACCCTTGAAATGTTGTGATTCTCATCCTTGAAACGTGGTGACTCTCACCCTTGAAATGTGGTGATTCTCACCCTTGAAATGTGGTGATTCTCACCCTTGAAATGTTGTGATTCTCACCCTTGAAACATGGTGATTCTCACTCTTGAAACATGGTGATTCTCACCCTTGAAACATGGTGATTCTCACCCTTGAAACATGGTGATTCTCACCCTTGAAACATGGTGATTCTTACCCTTGAAACATGGTGATTCTCACCCTTGAAATGTGATGAGTCTCACCCTTGAAACATGGTGATTCTCACCCTTGAAATGTGGTGATTCTTACCCTTGAAACATGGTGATTCTCACCCTTGAAATGTGGTGATTCTCACCTTTGAAACATGGTGACTTTCACCCTTGAAACATGGTGACTTTCACCCTTGAAACATGTACTTATGTCTCTACAGAAATCGGTTTAGTGTTGATATATTTTCTTTTCTGTCTGCTTAGAATCATCCAAGGATCTGGTTATTTGCCGAGTTGACAAAAGTTCAGGGAAGGCCCGCGGAGGAGACGAGGTGTTCTTGTTATGTGACAAAGTCAACAAAGGTTTGTACACAGATAATTCCTGTGTGGGTTCTGGGACTCCATTTGAGTAGAAGAATATTCGACCCACTGCCCCTTTAACAAGCCTGTTGTCACTGTGACGACTAAATGGTGGTGTTTCCTTCCAAGCCTGAGAGGCAAGCAACCAGCAGTCTCATACAAAAAAGCCAGATCTGTAAAACTGATGTGCATACAAAACTCGAGTTCTGGAACAAAACCACCGTCTAGAGGTGGATGAACAACCGGAACTTTTGGACAAAAATTACAGTTAATGAGCACAAAGAAAAAGAAAAATACAAAGCGAACATGCTGTCACCTATATTTCACAGAACATTTCCTGGTATTTGAGCATGGACTTTGTGGAAATCCTCGTCAGTTGAAGACAAGAATCCCAACCCTGAAGGGGATTTACTTGTTTGATTTCTGTTGTAGACAATCACCAGGCAACTATTGTCCTTTCCTGGATGAAGAAATATGAACATTTGAGGAACAGATATTGTGGAACAAATATTGTGGTCAGAATTGTGGTCTCTGTTGTAGACAATCACCAGGCAACTATTGTCCTTTTCTGGATGAAGAAATATGAACAATTGAGGAACAGATATTGTGGAACAAATATTGTGGTCAGAATAATTGTAAGTGGATTTTTACATCATTTCTCTGTTGTATTTTCTATTTTCGGTATGATATTTTTCGTGAAGCAAATTGTTGCCAGATGGATGTTATTGTGTTTTGTCTTTTACAGGATTACTTCATGATTTAATGATTTTGTATGTGCATGCGTGTGCTCATGTGTGCGTGTCTGGACTGCTTATTCTGTCTTGTGGCTTTTACAAATCTTGTGATCTTGTCGTCTAACAGAGGATATCAAAATTCGACTCTTTGAGGAGAATGATCAAGGTATCACAATATGGGAGGATTTTGGTGACTTTGGACAGGGAGATGTTCACCGCCAGGTAATCTGCTGCAAACAATAATTATAGTCATTTGACATTTGGTGGTGTTTTATGGTGTTATGGTTGTCTGTAAATGAGTCAGTCGGTCTGTCTGCATGCTGAATCATCTGTTTCCATTTGACTAATAAAGGTTGGTTGTCATGAATGCTTATGTAGCTTGTCTGTCAACTAGACTGATTTACTAGTCTTCCTCCATATGATGGGAGCAGAGGCATGGGTTGACCAGTCGGATGGTTGGAGTGAGGATTTGAAGCTAACCTGGGTGTGAAGATACCAGATGTTTGTTCATTCCTAGTATGGTAGGGGGAACCCACCAAAATGGCTGTTTTCAACCCTGCTGAAGCTAGCAATGGTTATAATTATGGTCTGGTTTTATTTGCCTTATTTTATAATGCTGAGATATTTTCAGTTTCATTGTTTTCTTTGGTCTTCCATTGCCTCTGTGATGTCAGTGCTGTCACAGTTCTTCTGTAGCCTCTGTGATGTCAGTGCTGATCCTGTTTGTGAACCTGCAGGGAAATATTTGAGGATGCAGGTGTTAAAGACTTGAGAGCAGTCACTGAAACTGGTATAGTTTGACTAGAAGCTAAAGTTCTACATTAACTGTCATGTGAAGGCATTTACTATATTTCACAGAATATTGTTTAAAGCTTGCATTAGCATGTCTCAGAGAATTGAGGGATGTGATTTAGTGAACTCAGGTGTAAGAATTACTCATCTGAGGGCCTAAGGTTCAAATCTCCCCAGAGGTAGAATGTTTCCACAACCACATTCCTCAAGGCCCAGCATAACCTGATTGTATTTGTACTAGAACATCAAGGCAAAAGTCAAATAATAATAGTGGCAGTGGTGATGAAGAAAGTGTTGGTTTGGCACCATAGATCCCAGTATGTTGTGGTAGTAGATGCTTAGCCTGTTAGATTGTGTAGAATCTCTAGAAATGTGCATTGTCATATGTCACCCATTGTTGTTAAGAAATGTCCTGCAGATATGAGAATATTTGAAAGCAGAGCAGTGTTTCCCCATTGGAAATCTCGACCCAGGAGACACAAACAACAGACTGTGACTGTGCTAAAGCAACTGATGAGATACAGTGAAATGTGCCGGGCAACAGATTGTGGTAATGCACCTGATGAGATACAGTGAAATATGCCGGGCAACAGATTGTGGTAATGCACCTGATGAGATACAGTGAAATATGCCGGGCATCAGATTGTGGTTATGCACCTTATGAGATACAGTGAAATATGCCTGGCATCAGATTGTGGTAATGCACCTGGTGAGATACAGTGAAATATGCCGGGCATCAGATTGTGGTTATGCACCTGACGAGATACAGTGAAATATGCTGGGCAACAGATTGTGTAATGCACTAGAAGAGATACAGTGAAATATGCCGGGCAACAGATTGTGTAATGCACTAGAAGAGATACAGTGAAATATGCTTGTGTCTTCTGTATTCACATGTACTTGGTAAGATATGTTGATTTCTGTGTTGTAAGAATAGATAGTGACTGTAGGCTCTTGTGTTCCAGTACGCCATTGTGTTCCGTACACCAGCCTACCACAGCCAAGACATCACCAAGCCTGTGGAGGTCAACATGCAGCTGCACAGGCCCTCTGATGGGGAAACCAGCGAGAGTATACCATTCACATATATGCCAGACGATCCAGGTGGGTGGCGGTGTTGGTTGCTTTTCTCAGGAAATGTCCATGGACTGTTTCTGTTGACACCTGTCGTATGATTGTTTCTCTGTGGTCCTTTACCTTTGTCTGTCTATACTTGCTCTTAGATCTGTCACATTTCGCTGTAGAAACAAAATTATAGACAGTTAAAGTCTTAAGATCTGGGTCTTTTTATATGTATTTTTGTTGAAAACACAAGAGTGTCTTATGTTTTTAAGTGGAAGGGGGTGGAGTTGATGGAAGAGGTGGACTGACTCTAATATGGTCTGTATATGTGTGGTGAAACAATATGGTCTGTATATGTGTGGTGAAACAATATGGTCTGTATATGTGTGGTGAAACAGAGGAATCATGGGAGACTGAGGAGGCAGCTGGAATACGCTGAGAACTGACCAGTTAAAGCAGAGGCAGTGTGTCAGTCACTGACTGCAACAGGAACAGTTGAGACCTGACCAACTAAAGTAGAGGCAATGAGTCAGACGCTGACTGCAACAGGAACAGTTGAGACCTGACCAGCTAAAGTAGAGGCAATGAGTCAGACGCTGACTGCAACAGGAACAGTTGAGAATCTGGGGTTTTGCTCCGTAAGCTATCCGCTAACACCACTGTTCCTCTGCTCAGTTTATTACATTTTTGAAAACCAAAAGGATAATCTTTCTATTACATTCTGGAGAGTATTATTGTTAAATTTGGTTTCTTTTGTTTTGTCCAGTTTGCTTGTTTTGCTTTATTATCTGCCCGATTTGACGGAACGACATAAATAAATTTGGAGTAAACTACATAAACAAATTTTATCGCTTGCTTGTATTTTGTTACTACCCAGTGCTACCATCAGTACTGGATTGCATTGTGTCTGATATTTGACTGTCCACACACAGTTACTACCCAGTGCTACCATCAGTACTGGATTGCATTGTGTCTGATGTTTGACTGTCCACACACAGTTACTACCCAGTGCTACCATCAGTACTGCAAACCTTTCCTCCCCCCTGATCCTTAGTGGTGAAATTGTATGTTAGTGATGATGACATTTTGTTTCACATTTTCTGCACATATGGTTATGATTATTGTGCAACTGTTGTGTTGTTGTTGATCCTTATCATGCCTGTCTGTGCATCTGGCATTTAATGTTAGCTATTTGACTGTGAATTTAATTTCTTTTTTTTTCAGATCCAGACAGAATTGCTGAGAAAAGAAAGCGTAAAGCTCAAAGATTAGTGGAGTTCTGGAATATTGCAGGTGGGTTCTGCATTTGCTGTATTTTTATGTTGATGCCATGCCAGAGTGTCTAGCTAGTGTCAGTACATGCAGCCAGTGCCCACGAGTCATGTCAGACACTGCTGCTCTCTGCAGCATCCAGGTACTGTCTGCAGCATCTAGGTACTGTCTGCAGCATCTAGGTACTGTCTGCAGCATCTAGGTACTGTCTGCAGCATCTAGGTACTGTCTGCAGCATCTAGGTACTGTCTGCAGCATCTAGGTACTGTCTGCAGCATCTAGGTACTGTCTGCAGCATCTAGGTACTGTCTGCAGCATCTAGGTACTTCTTCTTCTTCGTGTTCACCAGCTGTAAACTCTGGCGGAAAGTTCTGGTTGCTCGTCCACTACTGAACTGCAGTCCTGTTCCAGAACCTGAGTGTTGCATGTGCATCAGTTTTACAGATCTCATTCTTTTGAATACATACTGCTGGTTCCTTGCCTCTCCGGCAGATGCACTCCGACTTCAAAGGAAGCTCCCCAATTAGTCGACTCTTACGACATGCTTTTGGGGAGGCAGTGAGTCTATTCTTGTTTTCCCCAAAATGGGGCCCCGGAACCCGCACGGGGGATCTAGGTACTGTCTGCAGCATCTAGGTACTGTCTGCAGTAGAACTTTGTGTGTTTGAGCAAAACTTGCCCCACTTCTCCCTGTTTTTCCTCACACACACACAAACTTTCAGTCAGGTAAATTTCATCTGTTTATTTTGAGCCAGTGTATTTCCCATTTCTAACTTTGCAGTATTTGAATTGTTTGATAATTTGAGTACATGTGTTTGCAGGACATCCAGAACACAAGAGAGATGGCACTGGAGCCAGCGTTCGTGGCCGACTGTCCAGCATGCTCAGAGGCACCAGAAGGATCAAGAAAGATCCAGATGCACAAGGTATGCATGAGAATGTACAGATGACAAACTATCTTACATGAAGGGCTCTTATACGTCCTTCCAGATGGACAAGGTATGTCTGAGAATGTACAGATGACAATCTTACATGAAGGGCTTTTGTACCTCCTTCCTTACGCACAAGGTATGCCTGAGAATGTATAGATGACAGACTATCTTCTTGAAGGGCTCTGGTACGTCCTTCCAGACACACAAGGTATGCCTGAGAATATATAGATGACAGACTATCTTCATGAAGGGCTCTTGTATGTTCTGAATAACACATACTTATAGAGTATTGCGCGCGCAAATGTAAGATTTCCTGGGAGACTGCTTGCGTCTACTGTCAGCTGAAATTCTGTTGGGAGATCTAGTTTTGGCACATCTAACTGATGTATTATGCATTTACTTTACATGTGCAAGCATCAAGATTTTGCCAGAACTGATATGATTTTCACAGAGAGCGAATAATATTTTGTTTGATTTAACTTATCAACATGTCAGTAATAAGTCAATTGTTTATCATAATTGATCATGTTAGTAATAAGTCAGCTGTATATCATTGTTGATCGTGTCAGTAATAAATCAGCTGTAAATCATAGTTGATTGTGTCAGTTATAAGTCAGTGGTTTATAATAGTTGATCATGTCAGTAATAAATCAGCTGTATATCATAGTTGATCGTGTCAGTAATAAATCAGCTGTATATCATAGTTGATCATGTCAGTAATAAGTCAGCTGTATATCATAGTTGATCGTGTCAGTAATAAATCATGATGATCGTGTCAGTAATAAATCAGCTGTTTATCATAGTTGATCGTGTCAGTAATAAATCAGCTGTATATCATAGTTGATAATGTCAGTAATAAGTCAGCTGTATATCATAGTTGATAATGTCAGTAATAAGTCAGCTGTATATCATAGTTGATCGTGTCAGTAACGAATCAGCTGTATATCATAGTTGATCATGTCAGTAATAAATCAGCTGTATATCATAGTTGATCGTGTCCGCAATAAATCAGCTGTATATCATAGTTGATCGTGTCAGTTATAAATCAGCTGTATATCATAGTTGATCGTGTCAGTAATAAATCAGCTGTATACCATAGTTGATTTTGTCAGTTATAAATCAGCTGTATATCATAGTTGATCTTGTCAGTTATAAATCAGCTGTATATCATGTAATAAATCAGCTGTATATCAAAGTTGATCATGTCAGTAATAAATCAGCTGTATATCAAAGTTGATCGTGTCAGTTGTATCACATGTAAATGATTGTTGATGATGTCAGTAACATTAGGTTTCATACAAGATTTAATTGTGTCGCCCCCATCCAGGAATGCCGCTCTACTCCTCTGACATCACTGGTATGGACGGAGGAGCATCCAATGGGGCCGAGGCATCCTCTAGTCACATGACAGCAGATAACTCTTCAATGAGCAGTGTTGCAGTGTCGTCCATTTCAGCTGGCAGCATCGACTCCAGTGTCATTGCGGAACTGTCGGGTCTTTCTAGCAGTGATCTGTCGATAGTTTCCACAGAAAATGGCCAGTTAGTGATCTCTGTGAGTGGAGGGGATGGCAGTGGTTTGAGCGTGGACAGCATCAACTTGCCAGCAAACATGCTCAGTGGCGACCTGATGAACCAGATAGATATCCAACAGCTGAATGCATACCTGCAGGTATGAACTAAGGTGATTCATTCATGCTTGTATTTGTTTTCTTGCTTGGAGCTCTAGCAGTTTTAATTATTTGTTTACAGGTTAAATGATGATAAAAATTAGACATTGTCGGACAATAGTTGTTTCTAGCATGTGAGAGAAGGCAAGATTGATAGAAAAAAGAAGGAACAGTTATAAATAGCTGGTAGGCTTAGCCGTATGGATAGGGTCAGACAAAAGTACAGACATGATCTGTGGTTATGTGAGATGGTGAAATGTGTGAGCACTACATTTATTAGCTTGGCACGTGATGTTGATGGCATCCGTCTCGGGTTACAGTGTCTGCCTCTGACTGCTGACGGATTTGGTTGGTGTCGTGGGTTGACTGCTGGCGGACCTGGTTGGTCTCGTGGGTTGACTGCTGGCGGACCTGGTTGGTGTCGTGGGTTGACTGCTGGCCAACCTGGTTGGTCTCGTGGGTTGACTGCTGACGGACCTGGTTGGTGTCGTGGGTTGACTGCTGACGGGCCTGGTTGGTTGACTGCTGACGGACCTGGTTGGTCTCGTGGGTTGACTGCTGACGGACCTGGTTGGTCTCGTGGGTTGACTGCTGACGGACCTGGTTGGTCTCGTGGGTTGACTGCTAACGGACCTGGTTGGTCTCCTGGGTTGACTACTGACGGACCTGATTGGTCTCCTGGGTTGACTACTGGATTGCTACACAGTGAGAGGACCTGATGGTATACTGTGTCCTAACCCTGGTGTAGTTCGTCAGATGTTTAACCTTTTCAGACTAGACATTCATGGTTGAACAAACCTCTGCAGTTGGAGGTGGAAACTGGAGAGAATAAACAGGTAACTCTTCAGCTAGAATTTCCCAGTGATAACAATGATACATTTACAGAGGAGGAGCTGGTTGACTAGATAAGAACTCTGGCTGTCAGGCAGGAGACTCAGGTTCAGATCCTGTGTATGGTTCTGGGTTTTCCCCAGTCAGGGCCAAGAAAGAAACCCTAACCTGCACAGACTATGGTGACTGCACTAGCCATGCAGCCCTCAAGACACTTCCCTACTCCTGCCAACAGTGGTAAATGCAGACAGTAGTGTCAGGGACACTAACAGCTACACACAAACGGTGGTGTTTTTTTTTTGTAGCATGTATTCCTTAAAATATCACCTTTCCCAGGATCCTTTTCGGCAGTCAGAATTAAAGTGCTGAGCTAACACCTCCTTGTTAAATCTGCCAGAGGAGTAAAGTACTGATACAGAGATGTCTGGGCAAGATAAAGAATTACAATGATTGGTGGCTCATGGTAGAGAATATGTGGCTCAAAGATTGGATGTTTGTGTCACTGTGGCACTCTCGAGAATATCTGGCTCAAAGATTAGATGTTTGTGTCACTGAGGCACACTTGGGAATATCTGGCTCAAAGATTGGATGTTTGTGTCACTGTGGCAATCTCGAGAATATCTGGCTCAAAGATTGGATGTTTGTGTCACTGTGGCACACTCAAGAATATCTCCCTCAAAGATTGGATGTTTGTGTCACTGTGGCAATCTCGAGAATATCTGGCTCAAAGATTGGATGTGTGCGTCACTGTGGCACACTCGAGAATATCTCCCTCAAAGATTGGATGTTTGTGTCATTGTGGCAATCTCGAGAATATCTGGCTCAAAGATTAGATGTTTGTGTCACTGAGGCACACTTGGGAATATCTGGCTCAAAGATTGGATGTTTGTGTCACTGTGGCAATCTCGAGAATATCTGGCTCAAAGATTGGATGTTTGTGTCACTGTGGCACCCTCGAGAATATCTCCCTCAAAGATTGGATGTTTGTGTCACTGTGGCACACTCGAGAATATCTCCCTCAAAGATTGGATGTTTGTGTCACTGTGGCACACTCGAGAATATCTGGCTCAAAGATTAGATGTTTGTGTCACTGAGGCACACTTGGGAATATCTGGCTCAAAGATTGGATGTTTGTGTCACTGTGGCAATCTCGAGAATATCTGGCTCAAAGATTGGATGTTTGTGTCACTGTGGCACACTCAAGAATATCTCCCTCAAAGATTGGATGTTTGTGTCACTGTGGCAATCTCGAGAATATCTGGCTCAAAGATTGGATGTGTGCGTCACTGTGGCACACTCGAGAATATCTCCCTCAAAGATTGGATGTTTGTGTCATTGTGGCAATCTCGAGAATATCTGGCTCAAAGATTAGATGTTTGTGTCACTGAGGCACACTTGGGAATATCTGGCTCAAAGATTGGATGTTTGTGTCACTGTGGCAATCTCGAGAATATCTGGCTCAAAGATTGGATGTTTGTGTCACTGTGGCACCCTCGAGAATATCTCCCTCAAAGATTGGATGTTTGTGTCACTGTGGCACACTCGAGAATATCTCCCTCAAAGATTGGATGTTTGTGTCACTGTGGCACACTCGAGAATATCTGGCTCAAAGATTAGATGTTTGTGTCACTGAGGCACACTTGGGAATATCTGGCTCAAAGATTGGATGTTTGTGTCACTGTGGCAATCTCGAGAATATCTGGCTCAAAGATTGGATGTTTGTGTCACTGTGGCACACTCAAGAATATCTCCCTCAAAGATTGGATGTTTATAGCACATTAGAGAATTTCTCACTCAAGGATGTTTTTGGCACACTATAGAATATTTGACTCAAAGATTAAATGTTTGTGGTATACTAAAGACTATCTGACTCAAAGATTGGATTTTTGTGGCTCACTAGAGAATATCTGACTCAAAGATTGTAGAGGCATAAAACTCACAGCCAACGGCGATGGCGAGTGTGGCGATCTCACACAAGCTGGCCTGATATGGACACAAGCACACAGTTGTGAAAGAACAGAGTTTTGCACCACATTTCATCACATTGGCTCATAGATATCTGGAAGACTGGGTTTGTCATGAGCTGTTGATTGTGTCAGCTGGACAGATTTGTCGGACATGTCACACATTTTTTTGCTTGAGGAAGAATGGCTGTCATTGCAAACATACTGTCTACTTTTTATATTTCTAAAATTGTATTTCCTGTAATAAATTAGCTAAATTTAGGTTTGAAACTTCCTCAAACACATGTCTAAACTCACAATTATTGTATTTCATTTATTCACATCTACATACAGTACATTCACTAAATCTGGCTTTTCAAATAAGCAGCCAACATTTCTGAAGCAGTGATATTAATTCTGAACAAGTTCAGTTTCTGTTTTATTTGTTTAATCTAAACAATTTGTTTATGAACCAGTAGGAGAATGTTCGACACTCGCCTGCGTGTCTGAAGGTCATGTTTTCAAATCAGCATGGAGCTGAATTTTTTGTTTCAAACATGAACTTGGCTCCCAGTTGACCCAACCTTAAATGGGTACCAGGTAAAGTCCTTGGAAGTAAAGGCAGTCAGCATGATGTGACCCATCACCTGTCGAGGGCCGATGGGCCTGTAAAAACATGTCTAGCGTGATAAGCACCAATGGCGTGAGAAAGTGCCTTGACCTTTTACTGAAAGGGTGTGTGGTAGTATAGGCAGTTTGCTGCAGTCTAATATGTCTGTTTGTGACCTGCAGGACCAGGGCTCCAGTGAGATCCTGCTGAGTCAGCCGACGTCTGCTGAACATCTACACTTAGGTCATGACCCTAGTCAGCATGTGCGAATGCTGGATGCAGACTTGGAGACCGACGCTGCCCTCAGACACTTGAATTCTTAAATGTGAAATCTACAATGTTCCTTTGCTGGCTGATTTGTGGATACTTAGTGGCAGTAGACAACGGAAAGCTCACGGTCCCAGACAGGAACACTTGATTTCTGACATGGCTGATATGTGGATACTTAGTGGCAGTACACAACGGAAAGCTCACTGTCCCAGACAGGAACACTTGATTTTTGACGTGGCTGATTGTTTATTTGGTGGCCTTTGGCTTGGTCAATTGTTGATTGTAAATAGATTATATTGCATCTTCGTTGGATCTGAAAGTTCATGGAAGCAACAAACTAGGATGTTTTTTGTGTGTTTAGCCCTTGCAGGGGCTATCATGTTTTCCATTTGTGTTCCTGTCAGACACATGAAAATTGAAATGGTTTTTCTGTTTGATTGTTTTTCTCTATTTGTGCCTCACAATATCCTCAAGGGATCTATTTGATCCTGACAGACACATCTGAAATGAGATTGGTTTGTTTTTTCTGTGCCTGGTGATGTTCCCAATGGATGCAGTATTTGTCCAGGTACCAGTTGGTAGCATTTTGAATTAGCTTGTATTCTGTTCTCTTTAGGGCTTTCTCTTCTGCTCTCATGCATACCATGATTGAACCTCTGCTTTCACACAAACACTGAAACTAACATATTTGTCATTAGTTCCATTTATATGGTACCCTTAGTCCAGTCACTTCAGATTTGACGTTAAAATCAAACTTGGTTATTGCATTGCGTTGCACTGAGTTATCTGATTTGTTCTGAGTGTGAGGAAACTAAATAGCTCATCATATTTCATAAATATGTGAAAGTTTCAGCATCATACACATCCGTGGCAGGAGCTGCTATCAGTGAGTCTGTATGTTGCTCACAGGAACCACTTCTATCATCTGTGTGTTCCTCACACATGCAATCAAGCAATACGCCAGTGTTCTGGGGCAGTAGATTCCTGTATGGAGGTCTGGCTCTTGGGCTTGGCTTTGTTGGTCATATTCTGTCTGTGGCCAGGCTGCAGTGAAAGGAAGTTGAGGGTCACGTATGCACAAACCACAAGGCATCCCTGTTGTGTGGGTTACCCTGGCTGGGAGAGGACTGGCCTTGTGATGTGATATTTCTAGCCTTTGTCAAGGAAACAATGTAAATATGTGGAAGTTATTTTTGTGTGCATTTATTTCTGTGCCTCATTTATAGTGATTGCTATTTTTGCTGTGTGTTTATCTGGTACATGAGTGGCCGATTTTTTTTTCTTGTGCGTTTATTTGTTATATGAGAAATTAATCTTATTGCTGTGTGTTTATCTGTATATGAGAAATTGATTTTTTGCTATGTGTTTATCTGTATATGAGAAATGAATTTTTTGCTTTGCGTTTATCTGTTATATGAGTGATTGATTTTTCTGTTGTGAGTGGCCATCAACAGTGTATTATAGTCCTCAGTTTTGTCACATTTGCCAGGTTTTATAGAATATTCAGAATGTGTTTGTTCAACACAAAATGAAACCTCTGCCTGCTGGGGAGATTGGGAAGGGGGGGGGGGGGGGAGGTGCAGTAAATGGGCTCAGGGGATTTTTTATACAGCTGTGTTGACATTGTTGACATTGAAACTGGAGTGCCTTGTGTGGGGGTAATAGGGTCTGGGGGGGGGGGGGGCACTACTCTTTCTCTCCCTCTTCCCTGCCCCTCCCCCCAAAAAATAAGCAGTCATAAAAGAAACTGATGAGGGATTTGCTGAAATTAGATGTCACAGCCAAGCTGTAAACTGCAACACAGCCTACCAGCCACCGTGTTAAGGGAGAAATGCAGAAGAAGAAACAGGTATTTTAGCCACATAGAATATCATAGCGGTGTAGAACAAATGATTGTGGGAGGATACCTACATGATGGTGGACACAGGTCAGTACAGATAGCCTGTGCATGACCATGTTTAAGGCAGGGCAGCTGCTAAAGGATCAACAATGTGTCCAGTGTCTCTCCCCCACCTTTGTCATTTCATAATTTACAGATCAGCGTAGACTATCGTTACCTAGCACTGTGTATGTATCATCTTGATGTGTAGTGTGTTTCTGCTCACCTCTACAGCTGAACATATGTAATGTTTTGTACAAGTATCACTGAGTAAGGTGCCTCTCAGTGTAGCAATCAAGGCTGATGCACACTTGTTGGTTCTAACAAATAGAAGTATAGCAACATGCATGATGCACCAGGGGTCTGTTCAGTCCTTAACCCTTGGAAGTAGTAACATGTGACTTGTGGCTGCCCTCTTTCGTAGAAGAAATATTCAGTGCTAGTATTGAGGTGGTTTCATGGCAACAGCAAGCCATGGACCCTGTTGCATGGAGAAGGCACACCAGGAAGGGAATTGCAGACAGGATGAGAGCTGAACGACTGATAAGAAACACATTCAACACAAATGATGGCAACAACGGACCTGAAATCACATGCTGTAATTGTGACAAGACTTGTCTTAACCCACGCGGGTTTTGCTAGTCTTCCTCACCATGGCCATGGGCTGTGAGTCCCATGCCTCCTGATAGCAGTCTATCATCTTCAGTGTGAGCCTGTACTCAGAAACCTGGGGCGAACATTGCTGGACTCATGAGATGACTGTTACTGTGGACTGTTTCGAGTTTTTTGTGTGCACAGTCAGTTGTTGATCGTGAGTTGTGTCTCTAGGTCAAAGTTGCCTATGTGTGAGAAACTCGGGGGACATGATGTCTCACAGGCATCTCTACATGTGAGAAACTCAGGGGACATGATTTCTACATGCAAGTTACTGCTCGTTCTTGTTAAATAATCACTTTTCAAAACACCAGTGCGGATGGTTCAACTCTTTGGCCCTGACAGAGAGAGAGATCTGATTCCATGAAATACCTGGCTATAACCTGTCATAGAAGCCTAGCATTTAAAACAAAAAGGATGTAGACTACTTTATAACCCAGGACAAGAAAGGTGTCTCCCCAATTAAAGTTATGGCAACTGCACGCTTTGATAACGGTTACTTGTAATATTATATTATGGGATAGTTCTCTCCACACTGCCCACCGTGACATTTAAAACCACATGGATAAACAGATTGTGAGAAAATTAATAGAAAACTAGGCAATGCTTGTTATTCTTGGATGCACTCGGGACACCACCTGTGAATGTGTGCGATACTTCTTGGATGCACTCGGGACACCACCTGTGAATGTGTGCGATACTTCTTGGATGCACTCGGGACACCACCTGTGAATGTGTGCGATACTTCTTGGATGCACTCGAGACACCTCCTGTGAATGTGTCCGATACTTCTTGGATGCACTCGGGACACCTCCTGTGAATGTGTGTGATACCTCTTGTATTTCCCCCACAGTGGGTAACAACATCAAGCTATCCAAGGCCTCTGCTTTTCTCAGGGTGAAGTCAGACCCAATTCCCCCCCCCCCCCCCCACACACACACACACACACACACACCATTTGATGAATTATTGGGACGGAGAAAAGTATAGACTTCAAAGAGGGTAATCATGGACGGGTTAGGATGAGGATACCATCCAACAGGTGTGCCATCTTCTTACTGGTGTTAATTCTGGGATTGAATATGTACCCATGCCTGCTGCTCCAAACACGATCAACACAGAACAGGCATCACTTTACGGTTGTGGAGCTTTTTGAGGCGGAGATGGGAGCAGCCATGGATCAATTGTGATGGTAATTCTCACTGTGACTAATGACCATTGATTTCTTCTCTAGAAAACATGCCTCTCTCAGCTCATACACCTTTGCCTTGTCAAGTACTATGTTTTGTGGGAGGTGGGACTTAACACATGGCTACAATAGAAATGTGAGTCAGTTGTTTAGTTTAAGCTGACTGCCCATGAGGGGGGTGATACACCAGCCTACTCACTTTCTGACAGAGATCCCACACATCTGGATTCTGGGGGTCAAAGCTTCATGCCCTATGTTGAAATAAAATTAGACGCATCAAAGTAGACGAAGGAAGAGTAAGCACACACTTGGAGGAGGTAGTAGAAGATCATAGACTAGATGAACAATGTTGTGACTGGTAGCCAGACACCCACATGTCAAGTACAGTCAGTGAATGGTTTTGGTTCAGAAGGATCACTTTTATAACACAGGAATGTCTTCAGAAGTGTTCCAGTCTCCTCCTATTGGTCACACAATCTCAGCTCATGCTTTACTTTGCTCAACAACAAATGGTCACATTCCCCGAAAAGGGATCTTTAGGTTATAATTGCGACTACTTTACGTGTGCCATATAAAATGGCTTACCATTGCATGCCACCAAGAGTCCTGAAAATACTGTCCCGGGAAGCGACAAAGTCGTCTACCGGCAAGCCAATGGGCTACCCAATCGCTGATCATCTCAGCACAGTGCATGAACCTCCATAGATAGCAGTGATCACTGAAATGTGGGCTGTCAGAGGCACAGACTGTATGAAGGTTTCATTCACGTTGGGTGCAAGTCAGGAGCTGTGACATAGAAACCATGAGTATAATGGTTTTATTGGTGACTGCCAGTGATACAGGCCGCTTGTCAAAGTCATCGGGGTGTAGATGACAATGACAGGACACGTACGAACAGCAGAGAAATTAGCCGGACAGTGAGACACACAAGGTGAGAAAGGCAGAGATATCAGTGAAAAGTACAGTGCCAAGAGAAGCAGTGGCAGGCAGTGAATAATGCTGAGAGCTTTTCATATTGTTGACTGAATGTTTGTGTCCATGGATCAGCTTCAATGGTTCTTTGTTCATATCCTTGCTCCACACCACATATAACATTATTCACCCCCAGCTGTGTTGTTGTTATGTTTGCCTATATTGTGTTTCCCATCCATGTCAAGCACTGTATTCAACATAGTCCAGATGCAGCAACTTCATGTGTGTTTATTTGCTAGAAAGTTGATATTGTTTTAATGGATTTTCATTTGGTTTCACTCATATTTTTTTTCAACCAGATACTGCCAATATGTTTTATGTACAGTATTTTATTAAAATGACTGTTTTTTGCTTGTACT